GGTCAGGCCTGGGGCTGCTCGGCCCCACGAGAACCCCCACTCCAGCACGTGTCTCTCTGTAGGGCCCCTCTTTCTACTCCCAAATTCTCCTTTACCTCCCTCGTCCCCTCCCAACAATCAACACCTGTTTATCTTCTCCCTGTCAGCCCTGGTTTTACGGATTTTGTACTGTATTTGGTACGCAGGACAACAGCCGCCCTGAAGATGCACCGGTTCGATCAAGCTAACACCCCCTTTTCGCCTGGCTAGCTGTGCCATCTGCTTACACGCTGCCCCTCGATCGCTGTGGGTGGCATCCAGGAATCTGTCCATCTCGCGCCCCCAGCCGGGCTGGCCGGAGCCCTGCAGACCTGCTCACCCACGGGACGGGCGCAGCAGCAGCAGCGCCCGCAGCTCCCGGCCTCGCTCTGCAGCGCTGCCCGAGCTGCACAGCCACACCGCGGTGAGGAGCAGGTATAGGGTAACGAAAGGGCCGCGCTGGAGTATCCCAGGTCAGAAGAAAACCAAGATTTTTCAGCTTTTGTGCATGATGAGTCACCACATTGCTTTTCGGTGCTAAAATAAAATCTGGTGGAGAGACTTGTGATGTTTACTGTGTGGACCAGCAAAAAAACCAAGACCAAACTACGTAATCCTTAGCAGGCCTCTAGACTGTGTCTGTGGTGACTCCACGAAGGCACACTGGAGAGCACGTCCTGATGCCTGGAACAGCTGCTGCAGACCAGCACGGGGCCTCACGCCTCAAGTGTTCCGCTCTGCTGCAGCTGAGCGGGAGCGAGGCCTGGAACAGACGCCCGTGTCACAGCTTACCTCCGCAGGTCTCCAGCTGTCTTCTCAGCCACACCCAGATTTTCATGGGGAGAGAATGTTTAGTTCACTCAGGACTAACAGAACCAGATTTGTCTGTAGAATGGATGAGAGGGAACAAAATCCTGGACTAGTATTAGGAGCACGCCCAGTGACCAAGGGTACCAAAGAGGAATTAGCAGCACAATGCAGTCAGGTACCAACAGCAGGGGAAAAGTGTCTCTGGAAAGCAGAACGCTGCTAGGCAGAAGGTTAAAGGACAGGGATCATCAGTAACCACGTCCAGCATGCTGCCCTGCAACGTGCATGTGGTGGAAGGCAGGCAGCAAAAAATGGTGTTAGAAAAGAACGGGATTTGCCTTTATTAGGTGCTAGGAAACTGTTGAGAGAGAGCTAATTTATGTGTCTGCTCCACCTAAACCAAAACTGACGTCCGGTGTTAGGTACGAAACTAGGGAAAAAAAAGCTTACACAGGACATCTTAAAGTGAAGCTTGAGGGAACCAGCAACCACTGTGCCGATTCCAATTCTGAAATAAAAATGTCTTCCTCTTTGCATTATACTTTTGCTTACACCATTAGTCTGGAAGCATCACCGCAAATCCAAGGCTCCTTGCTTCTCCAGTGCCCTAGAGATACTGTTCTGGAAACACAGCCTCTGATCCTGCTCCTTCATCTGTACAAGGATGTGGTTTGCATCAACGAACCCAGCTTACTAAGTCATTCGTACTACTTTGCATTTTCCTTTCCAATTACTACGTGTCAACTGCAAGTCTCAATTGTTTCCAAATCATTTAGAAAAACATTCAAGAGAAATAATCCTCACAGATGCCTCCCAGAAATACTCCCAGAAATGTCCTCATTCCTAGCTATACTTAAAATCTCTCAGGCCGCTGTGATGTGCCCTACTGATCCTGCATAGTTGCTTTTAAGAATTAAATTAAACACCTTGTTGGTTTTACTATGACTACTCAGCACAAAACCACTTGATTGCTCATTAGTACGAGCTTTTCTTCTTCTAAGGGCATCTTGCACCAGGCTTTTTTTGCTGCTCTGTTTGGGATAGATAGGAGGAACATCAGCTGCCAGTGCCCAGCTCTCCCAGGCACTCAGCTTGTCCATTTTAAAAACTGGCACTGGCTTTCTTCCAGTGCAGGACCGTATTCACCATCCTGAAATTTAATCCAAACCATCTTTAGTGGAGAAGAGATCTCTTGGGACAACTTCTTGGGACTCTGCTTTGGAAACAGCATCATTTCAAAGCACAGGGCATACATGCTGTGAGCGGAAACAACCTGGCTGAAAACAGCCGGACCGTGACTGCTGTCACCCCAGCCAGCCGGCCAGCCAGGCGGGCAGGTCAAAGGTAAGAGGCGGTATTTGGTTGGGAGCAGTATGTTAATTTATCATCTTTGAAAATCCCCAATAAGTTTATAGCTGGCTGTATAACATCGTGAACAAATCTGTGGACTGACCCTCTCTGTCTCAAGTCCAGCACAGGTAACTGTCTAACGCTGGGTTCTCCTTCCTGAAGAAATACTCGGTAGGTTCTGTAGTCAGGGGATCTGCTCTATCAGTGTTTAGAAACACTAAAATCCATCACGTAGAACTTGTTGCTCCCCTTGTGTATTACCTAACCATCTTGCACTACTGGAAGTTTATTTAATTCCTATTTGTCACACTTGTTCAAGTTTTATGACACTTGCAAAATGGCAACACTAAATCATAGCATCATACAATCACTAAGGTTGGAAAAGACCTCCAAGATCACCAAGTCCAACCGTCACCCCAACACCCCCAGGCCTGCTAAACCATGTCCCCAACTGCCACATCCCCACGGTGTCTGAACCCCTCCAGGGATGGGGACTCCCCCACTGCCCTGGGCAGCCTGGGCCAAGGCCTGACCACTCTTCCAGTAAAGACATTTTTCCCAATGTCCAACCTGAACCTCCCCTGACACAACCTGAGGCCGACCCCCCTCCGGCCCCTCAATGTCCTGCTTGAGGTGAGGGGCCCAGACCTGAGCACAGCACTCGAGGTGCAGCCGCACCAGTGCCAGCACAGGGGCCCGATCCCTGCCCTGCTCCTGCTGGCCACACCATTCCTGATCCAAGCCAGGGTGCCGCTGGCCTGCTTGGCCACCTGGGCACACTGCTGGCTCCTGGTCAGCCGGCTGTCGACCAGCACCCCCAGGTCCTTTTCTACCAGGCAGCTCTCCAGCCACTCCTCCCCAAGCCTGGAGCGCTGTGTGGAGTGGTTGTGACCCAGGTGCAGGACCTGGCACTTGGCCTTGTTGAAACTCACACAGTTGGCCTCAGCCCATTGATGCAGGCTGTGCAGATCCCTCTGCAGAGCCTTCCTGCCCTCGAGCAGATCGACACTCCCACCCAGCTTGGTGTCATCTGCAATCCTCACCTTCCTGGTATCCTCACCTTGTATTATTAATTTAATCACATGCACACGGCTCCAATTAATCACTGAAAAAACCCCCACAAAACCCCACAGCTCCCTGAGTTACAGGCAGTTCCATTTGGAAATATTACCCTCCCAAATAAACTTACTTCCCTGTACAAAACGCTTTAACTGCATGCAGTAGTGTACGGCCAGTCGTTCATCCTTGGCATCCTTCTTTCTGTCATGGGGAAAAGTATCTCCATGATAAATTTTTACTCCTCTTGTCCTATAAGCATCTTCAAACACAGACTTTTTCATGGTGTGAATGAGCTTCCCAAACCTTCACATGTAGAATTTATATTTTAAATGTCAGCACAGAAGAGGTGGTCAGAATCTTCAACATTTGGGGCTCTCACTTCTCAAAATAATCACAATTCAAGCTATTTTGAGTTTTAAAACAAATTAGCTCAGATCAGGCATTGAGTTTGAGAAGAATGACTCATCAGAAGTCAAATCTCGATTTGATGACAAAAAGAGCTTCCAACAGTGTTCACAGAAAATGGAGGAGTTTATCTTTCCCTGTTCTCCAACGAGAGGCTGCAGTTTAGCAACTTACTGATGGTGCTGCACAGTTCAGCTAGAAAGGTGGATCCAAAAAGACTGAAAGTAGCCAAGTTTAAGTCTTCTCTGTATTTTTTTTTATCATCCATGAAACACAAAGAGCAATTTCATAAACACATAGCTGTAAAACATGCTGGAAAAGTATCCTCACATGCTTAATCCAGAAAACATACACAGCCCAAGGATAAAACCTAGTACATACAACACTTCTAAAATCTGTTTATGCATATGGTAGTTTCAAAAATGTGATGAAATATAAGGTGCTGACCCTACAATATTAAAAATGCTAAAGCTCATAATCACAAATAGAACAACTGAGGATTCGCTTTGCATCACAACCAAATCTGGCCTTGGTAACAAAAAAAAAAAAAAGCACAAGCTTCTGTCACACCCTCCACTTTGTGAGACTTCGCCTCAGC